TAAATCGCGATAGTGTCACTGTTAATTTAAGTTCTGCCACAATTTCCATCTAGATTTACTACCTTTATACAACTATCAGTAGTAGAATAAATAATAAATAACATAAAATAAGCTCCGTAAAGACTGACAAATCCACAAAATTTCAAATCAAATTCAAATTTGTCAAATGAATCGTCAAACAGAACTGTCAAGGATCCCCACCCTAGAGAGCCTTTATGGTGGCTTTTCCGCCCACCATGCATGAATACATGGATAGCATTATGCTCCTTCCTTAGTCTTCTTATTCAAAGCTATCGACCATACCTTGTTTTCAAGTTTGCTTTGTACCATGAGTAATTATATATCGAGAAACTATGGTTACGGCTCGTTGAATTTGAGACTTATGTCATTTTAATAATATATTTTCATACTTTTATGCCTAGGCGTTAAAATGACTTTTTTATATTGTCAATCACGTCGCAAAAATTAATACTTTTGTGACGTTTGAAAAAAAAAATAATATTTTGAAACTAACTGGTATATTTTTCTGCCACAACAAAGTTATTATACAGTGATAAATGATAAGATCATATTGAAATACGCTACTGGGTAAAAAGAATGGCTAAATTTTATCAATAATACTCCATTTCAAAGTTATTTTCCAAAATAATTAATATTTTTCAATAATTGATTGCAATTAATATTATTTTACTAGTTTAATTTGATTAATTAATAAGACTAGATTAATTTCATTTAAAATAAATTTGATCAGATTTTTTTCGTATATTCAACTACCAGAAAAGTAGAAGGAAGATTATAATGTATCTATCACAATATTTAAAAGAACTACTACAATAATTATTAGAAGAAAAACAAAAAGAGAAAAATACCCAAATACCTTCACCTGCTACTCAACTACAAAATAAATGAATATAATCTCTTACAAGAACACTACACAAACTACTTCTTGTATTCTACACTAAACAAATTATCAAACTTATTAATTACCTAATCAAACATAAAGAAAAATTAACCAAATTACCCCTTCGCCTACTACTTAACTTCAAAATAAAATATAAAAACACTACTAAATTTCTTCTGGTAGTTTACACTAAACATTATAATCAAACTTAATAAATTAAACTAATTTTACATTACAACTACAAAGAAACAAGAAAATATTTTATAACTACAAGAAATAAAACTTGGATACGTGCGACCAGTATAAAAGATCGCGCACATTAAAGATCGCGCACACTATACCTACACGGACCAGTACGGACCAGCACAGCACAAACCTGCATCCTGCATGACGTCGCACACTTTACCGCCACAGACCAGCAACATAAGCGAGAGTTTCGAAAAAAGTACAGTTGTCAAAGCTCAACTACTAGAGCGTGCAACATAGAAGTATTGAAAATGAGTAGTTCAGAGGAAGAAATTATTATTTTAGCCATGTTGTGTGAAGAAGAGGAGGAAGAGAAGGAAGCTAAGAAAAAAAGAAGATTTTGGGTTCACCCTATAAATCAAAAGAGAAAGCAATATGGCGAATTTCATTATTTGTTTCCTGAATTAAAAAGATTCGAAGAAAAGTTTTTCCAATATTTTCGAATGTCACAAATCAAATTTAATTATTTTTTTTTGCTATCGACTCCCATATTGCATCTTTTCTTTCTTGGTCTCTATATATAAAATGCTTGGCTCGTATCGCACAGCTCTGGATACTTTTGTACCAGTAAAATAAGCTTTTCTTCATTCATATTTAAAACGATTTAAAGGTTCGAACAAAAATAAACGAAATCTAACCTACATCATGCGACTTGAGCCAGCTAGCGTACTCGAAATACTGACAAACCCTTCAATATTTGCATGTTTGTGGAGATGACCTGTTTTGACGGTCGTGGCTTGTGGCGGTACGTGCTGGTACTGGTCTAGTGTGCTCTACTCTATTAAATAACACGGTCACCTTCACCGGTATATTTTACTGGTCTGGTCCGTGCCGGTCCGTGCAGGTATAGTGTGCGCGATCTTTTATACCTACACGGACCGGCACGGACCAGACCAGTAAAATCTACTGGTGAAGGTGGCCGTGTTATTTAATAGAGTAGAGCACACTAGACCAGTACCAGCACGTACCACCACGAGCCACGACCGTCAAAACAGGTCGTGTCGGTCAGGGACAAATATGGCAATATTTATGCCTGGTCGTGCTGGTCCGACCTAATGTGCGCACCGGCGAACCAGCACACCTCCACAAACATGCAAATATTGAAGGGTTCGTCAGTAATTCGAGTACGCTAGCTGGCTCAAGTCGCATGATGTAGGTTGGATTTCGTTTATTTTTGTTCGAACCTTTAAATCGTTTTAAATATGAATGAAGAAACGCTTATTTTACTGGTACAAAAGTATCCAGAGCTGTGCGATACGAGCCAAGCATTTTATATATAGAGACCAAGAAAGAAAAGATGCAATATGGGAGTCGATAGCAAAAAAAAATAATCAAATTTGATTTGTGACATTCGAAAATATTGGAAAAATGATGAAATTCGCCATATTGCTTTCTCTTTTGATTTATAGGGTGAACCCAAAATCTTCTTTTTTTCTTAGCTTCCTTCTCTTTCTCCTCTTCTTCACACAACATGGCTAAAATAATAATTTCTTCCTCTGAACTACTCATTTTCAATACTTCTATGTTGCACGCTCTAGTAGTTTTGACAACTGTACTGTTTGAGCCTTGACAACTGTACTTTTTTCGAAACTCTCGCTTATGTTGCTGGTCTGTGGCGGTAAAGTGTGCGACGTCATGCAGGATGCAGGTTTGTGCTGTGCTGGTCCGTACTGGTCCGTGTAGGTATAGTGTGCGCGATCTTTAATAGATCAAGCGGACAAAGAATATAAAATACTTTAAAATGTGCATTCAGAAAGAAAGAATATCTCGAAAATTATCTAAACAAACATTTTTTTTTCTTATCAGTGAAAAACATCGACCTCGTCGGCCTTGCGGAATTTGTCGGGTATTTACAATGGTCGAATTGTATAATTACCAGCTTTTTTAGCATATCTAATAGACAAAAAGTATCTGGTCGATTAGTAACCAATTGGCACAGTCCGAAAATTATCGATTTTTATTTTCTCTTTTTTTATTGGCCGCTTCAAAATTCAGAGGATCAAAAAATATTTTTCTCTAGTAAAAGACTGTGAAATACGCCCCGCCATCTGGTGCTTTACATCCATAAACGTCTTAGGTTGAGCTACTTTAAAAATTCATATACAAGGGTCGTAGGTATGAAAAAAGTAAAATATAAAATGGACAAGCGTTTACTTACATTGTAAAAAAACTGCCACTTTTAGTTTTGCAATCCAAACGCAATATTTCTATTTCACAAAGAAAAATATCCGACAACACTAAAATCACTGAAACTTCCTCGGCTGACAACGAAAACTGAAAAATATAACGGCACTTTTTGTTTTGGACCTGCATATCAACATTACGCTGTACTATTATGTGTTTGTTGTTGAAATAATATAAAATATCTAATTATAACTTGTAAATTTTAATATTTTAACATGATTTTAACTACTTTTGACAATAACTAACTCATATAACTAACTCATCTAACTTTTTATCAAGATGACATTTTAGACGGAAACTGACATATATGTCATAATATTTGAATCTTAAATATGTATGTAATATAATTTAAATTACTTTAATGGCAACTTTATACTAAGAAAACATTTATACATTCACAAAATACAACAAAGTCTAATAATATAGTTTGAAAACAATGAATATTGAATTAAAATTGAAACAGTTAAGCGCGACCCCTTGTGCCAAAATTAGATGATTAAATTTTCGCAATTTTTACACCATTTGATGACCGGTGGCGCCTCTAGTGTTTGTTCGGGCGGTTGGTCTTTTACTCCCGCTTATGGCCATTAAAGAAAAAGTTCTAAAGGGGGATGTTTTGTGAACACAATTAAAATTAATAAAATATCCTAGCAACAGCTTGCGGTAGACTGTTGTATCCATAGAGAAAGCATAATATTTAGCTTATAAAACGATAAACTTTTGATTTCTAACCAATATTTTTCTTGACGGATAATCAAAGGCCAAAATGACTTTCCTCCCAAATTTTGAAGTATAATTAGTGGAAAAGTCAAAAGTTTGTTAACTTTTTCCACTAATTGAAAATTACTACCACTAATTATGACGTTCTGAATGCTTACATTAAAAATAGGTGAACAAACTTCTACGCTAATTGAATCCACTAATTTATTCCACTAATTGCGAGGTTCTGAATGAAGCATTAGATTCATTGAAATAAGAGCAACAACTTCAACTCTAATTGAAACCACTAATTTACTCCGCTAATTTCGAGGTTCTGAATGAAGCTTTTAAAACATCAATATTAAATGAAATTTAGTTCATTTGTTTTATTAGTTTGTATTTCTTTAAAATTTACTTTTATTATATTTTAATTGGGACATAAAATAATAAACTTGATTATTTTACCTCATGAGGTTTGTTGATTTTTTTTTACTGTTAAATGGGGGTAACAGCGGTCAAAATTTTGTACATCATTGACAAATTAATGCCGAAATATTGCCAAGTAGTGCCAAATAATGATAAGATATTGCCAAATAATGCTAGATATTGCCAAATAATGTCAAGTACTGCCAATTAATTTAATTAATTTCCATACTAATATCAGCAATACCACTAATTCCTGTGACAATGCCAGACATTGCCAAGTATTGCCAAACCATACTGTGTAATTTCTGATGTAACAATTGTCGTCATTTCGTTAGTTTTCTAGGTATGTATTTGAAATTGGTATATGTATATGATAATAATGCAGACTATGCATATTTTTATTTTTAAATTACCGTTTATCACTTTCACTACAACGAAAGAATTAAATTAAAAAAAATATACATTCTGTTGCCTTATTATCATATGCAAGTTATAAATATGTAATAACTTTAGATTATTTTAACCCTTAAATGAAACAATCAACCAGATAAACCACTTTTATTATTACGTCAGTACAGCTTGTGCTATTTTTTAATATTTACTGGTACTCTGGTGCGCTCGTACTGTCGCAGAGCAGGCGCGTTCGCTCGGCCTTGCCCAGGCCTCTCCCGTCGGTGGTAAGCCAGAGCCATCTAGAGTGTCGTTGCGCATGCTGATCTCGCTCGGCCACCCTGGTGTCATGATGTCATTTTTATCATATGTTAACACGGCCATTCTGCAGGTGGGGCGTCCTCGCACCAATCTGAAATTAAGAAAACACCAAAACAGTATCGATGTTCATTTCTTATCATCAAAAACTATGAAATGAAAACATTTTTTTTTATTTCGTTTTATTAATCGTAGCTAGTACTACCACTACTCTGTCTATATTTCAGCATCTAATTTGGGGTTGCCACTGTCTCTAGGCATAGTAGGGTTGCTACTATCCTCTATTATTCAGCATCTAAGGTAGAGTTGCCACCTTCACAATTAATACTTTGAATAAAACAATCATTGGTGGGATCGCCACCCTTATTAGCAGTTGCTAGTGGGAACGCCACTATAAAATCATTCTTTTTGTTACAACCAACAGTATATAGTGAGATCGTCACTAAGAATCATTTAAATTATTATTATTGGTGGGACTGCCACTCTTTATTCTAATTATTATTATTGCTGGTGGGATTGCCACCCTTCATAATCGCCACCCTAAAGTTGGCAAAGCCAAACTAAAATACAATTTTTAAGATAATATAGTGGGATTGCCACTCACCTTTTTTTTTAAATTATTCTCATGACCATGGCCTCAACTGATCGTGAGCAGCTACTGTGATTCGTTGTCCTTTCTTGTGGAGCTGGTATCGTTCATGCGGTATGACCTTTTTTTTCTAATTTTTTTTTTAATTTTATCTTATCGTAAGACTACTACTATTTTCACTATAATAGAAGACTTTATTATTATTATTTATTATTCTCCTTGAATAGTGTATCTACTCAAATAAATTTTGAATATTAGCAGTACAATCAATTATTTATTTTAATTTATAGCGGGAGTGCCACTATTTCTTTTTTTTAAGAGTAAAAAGCACTCTTTTTTTCTGATTTTAGTTTAATTTATCATGAATTTGTCAGTCAAACCCATTCCTAACAGTTAATGCCTCTTATACTTTGGAAAACTAGTTCTATATCATTTAACATTTTATCCATTCTTTACATTCTACAACATGCTAGCCATGTTATATGTGGAACCAACTATTATCAAAGTTTACAGGATACTATTACATTATGAATATTGCAATTTACATCGCTTTCTCAGGGAATGCCTGTCGATTATCTAGCCACAAATAAAAACAATTTTGTTTTTGCTGGTGGTACAAGTTTTATAATATTTTTTTTTTATAATTGTTTTAAATCAATGATTCTTTAAAAGAAAACATAATAACTCGCGTAGCTTGCGCCTCTCTAAAATAAACAACAACAAAAAATGCTTTGTCTTATAAAATGCATCTCGAACTGATAAGCTCCGAGCTCTGCGTCACCGAATATTAACACAAGACTGTTGAGTTGCATTTTGTCGAAAAACTTTAGCTTAAAATAAAGAAAGATTTACCACAAAATAAGAAAAAACACTTTGTGCTCTAAAACAATATTTGTGTGCTCTTAGTGTTATGTTAGTGTGTTATCTTATAGACGAAATCTTAGACATTTTTTTTATATAAAAGATGTTCTTTTTTTTTTTTGAACTTTGAATCTACTTTCAACATTTCTACGGGTCTGGCCTATATAGCTGATATTGCATTCTGAACAGTTTAACTTATAAATTGCCTGATAGTGTTTAGGGTTTTTTGTTTTACTTTTTAAAAGTAAATTTGATATGGTTTGAGACGGTTTACTATTATATTATTTAATTTCTTATTATTATGTTATTTATTGTTTATATTAAATCTATTGTATTGTTTCTTCTTCTTTAGTTCTAATAGCATGACTTAGTGCGAGAGCAAATGTTCAATGAACCTTTGATTTATACGCTGCTAATTTATGTTGTATTGAATGTTTAAAATTATGAGGATCTACATTTTTATACAAGAGAATAAAATATTAAAATGTTCTAATTTTGAAAAGTGTTTCTGTAAATTCAGACAGAAAGCTTTCTGCAAGTAACGGACTTAGGGGAGAACCCAAAGCTAAATAATTTTTTTTTGTTTATCAATTAAAATGTCTTTAACACAAAACAATTCTAGTTCATGCGTAGCGTCAAAAAGATCCAAAACTTATGTCAAACGATAATGTTAATCTTACATTTTTGCTTAATGTTAAATATCATATTTAAATTGATTGAATTATTGATAATAATCTTTATTTGGCATATTAGACAACAAGTCTTAGTTACGTCGAAGGAAACCAGAATTGAACCCTGATTAAAGGGGTGATATTCCTTAGTGTATTTGTAAGTTCAATGCAGTTCTTGCTATTTTTGATTGAAATTATGTAATTACTGTAACAATTGTATAATTTTGTCAATAAGCGTAAAGTTGTCAATGATTTTTGTTTTGAATAAAGTTTTCTGTCAAAAGAAGACATATTACTTCCTTTTTTTTTAATACAAAGAGAAAGTGAGTTCTAGTGTGAGAATATTTTTAGTATTCGGTTCTAACTGTCCGAAATAAACTATTGCAATTGTATCTTTAAATTATTTTAGTGATTTCAATATACTTCATAACTTATGGTATTGTACTATTGGACAATCTGTATAAATTGTCGAAATAAACTCTGGCAATATATTGGCGTATTAACAACTAGGAAAGAAACTGACTGCCACTATTTTCGTTGAAATATAAAACTAATTAAGTATGGCATTATTATTCTTCTCGTATTGATTTAAGTTTTTAAATGACAGCTTATTAAATGAGAACAAATAATTAAATTCAATCGTTCAAAAGACTGTAAGTTAATTCAAATAAGTTTTGTCGGGTAACTTATTCGGGTAGTCGTATTAAATTACCAATTCTTACATTACCAGTAAGAACTAAATTAAATCGTTTGTAAGACTGTAAGTCAAATGGTCTGATACTTATTTTTTTTTTATATTGTGGAAGGCCATGGTTGGAGTTGTTTATGTGCGGTCACATTTGTCCGCCGCCGCCGATCTTGCTGACGCAGCGCATATCTGGCGTTGAGGAATGAACTGCAACTGCATTCCATGCCTGTCAGCTGAGAATCTTCCATGGTCATGTCCAGGTCTCCAACCATAAACGAATAAAAAATAAAAATAGCTTGATTAATAATATACTCATTATTATTAAAACTTTTTAATACTCAACTTTTGTTCGAAGGTAAACAAATCAGTTTGACTGTGCTAGACATAAAAGTGCTGAGCTCGCTTATTCGGGTTATTTTCCAATCGTCCTTCAGCTTCTGCAATGGCCTTGTCCGGATCGACGACATCGGTGGCGGTGCGTCGCGTCGGAAAATGCTGAGGAACCAATAATCTGGAACTTGATCCATGACGTAACACATCTGGTATGTGATCAACTCTCGAATGGATTGTGTTTATCTTCTGCAGCGGCAAGCAGCGGGAAGCACCGTGATCCAAGTTTGGTTTCTGTGCTCAGCAATAACAGTTGCCTGAGCTCTCGCCATCTCTCTCGGAAAAAGCGGTGATGAGGTCATCATAAAACGTCCGGCGTTCGGCGACAGTATTGATTACTCTATGTTTTTATAGTCTTGCTTCTTTAATAATCGTCATCTTATCGTTGACTCGGTCTTTAACTTCGTTGTATTTCGAAGAATTTCGTCACACTTCGTAGTCTTTCAGCCATTCGTGAATTGCGTATACGCTGTTGCCTTGATCGTAGTTTCGTAGATTACTCGTTTACAGGTTGTGTAACCAAATGAAGCTTGCGCACTAGATACATCTGCTACGGTTACGGATAGGTGAGGCGTTGGCTTCAAATACTACGATGATATCATCGCCATCTTTGTTTGTTTCGCTAAGTCAGCAATTTGTCGTTGTTGGATAGCAAATAAGTTATTAATATTTCTTTTCACTGTACTCTGACTGTACTGTACCTTTAGAATATTCAGAATTTGACTAGGCATTGGGTGACAACATTTTCATTTGAAGCTCCTGCACACTTCGACGAAACAATGTCTTCTCTTCATTGCAATGTTTTCATTTTGAAGGCACTCACAAATTGTTTTATTGTTTATTTGCCCTTTAACGATCATTAGTACACAGGAGAAATGATTCTTCTGATAGTCCAAGTCAGAAATTGGCACATTTATCACATTTCGCCATGTTGCGCAATAATGTCTTAACGTTCAAAAACTTCACTTTTCACTAATTTTGGGGCACACTGGCTTAATATCTGGACACATCCCACTTCTGATAATAACTTTAGATTATTTTAACCCTTAAATGAAACAATCAACCAGATAAACCACTTTTATTATTACGTCAGTACAGCTTGTGCTATTTTTTAATATTTACTGGTACTCTGGTGCGCTCGTACTGTCGCAGAGCAGGCGCGTTCGCTCGGCCTTGCCCAGGCCTCTCCCGTCGGTGGTAAGCCAGAGCCATCTAGAGTGTCGTTGCGCATGCTGATCTCGCTCGGCCACCCTGGTGTCATGATGTCATTTTTATCATATGTTAACATATGTATTTAAATACAAAAAAATGGAATCGAGAAATGCAGCACTGTAGCCTAACTGCGTGGTCAGCTTGTATATTACAATTGTCATATCAAATGAAATTAAAACAACCATTTCTTTATTTCTGTCTCGATCTAATAACAAATCAATGAGATCGTCTTTCTACTAAAACTAAACTACCATATTTCTTAAACATAATATAAAGTTCACACTACACTATGGATATAGTTGGATAGGTGGTCGTGAGTCGTGAAAATGATCTCCACGTACAACAAAGTCTACTGTCTATAAAAAATTGGTTGGTTAGTATTGACCTACTACTGCGGTACTTTACGTGTCAAAAATAGATAGAGAAGAAGCCTAAACGAAGGGCCAAATATCAAAGCAACTAAACACGAAAAAATCAAATTAAACTGCTACATCTATCTCAAATAATACTACCGGGTGCGTCTCAAAAGTGGCTCACCTCTATAACTTTTTTATTTTTTTACTTAAAAAAGCAAGATTTGGAGTGTGACATAAATTAGGATTGATTGACGTATTCAATTGTTTTCGGTCACTTCCTGTTTCACCGGAAATGACTACAACTTTTGATTTTTAAATGGCACCCTCAGTATTTTTTTACTTTATTCGATAGAAAATAATACTCTGAATAGAATGACATATTATATGTCAAATTTTGACATTTTGGCATATGGTTTATTTGAAATTATAACTTGCGGTTCGTAACGAAAATTTGACTCGAAATACCAAGTGTGTGGTATCAAATTATTCGTAAAAAAATGCTTTTTCCAAATATGCTAATGAGCCACTCTTGTTCCATTTGAAAAAATTGAGATATGATTAAAAATACGATTTGAGCATTTTCTAACTGGTCAGGACAAGACACTAAAAACATTAGACGATCAGATCTATTTTTTCCAGGGCTCCTTGATTAAGAATTAGTGTTTTAACATAGCCAGGACACTCTAGATTGAATTTTCAAATCGATTTTTTATTAAGCAAGAATGTCAAAAGTTCACGTATGATATGTCATTCTATTTAGAATATCATTTTCTATCTAATAAATTAAAAAAATTCCGAGGGTGCCATTTAAAAATCAAAAGTTGAAGTCATTTCCGGTGAAACAGGAAGCGACCAAAAACAATTGAATACGTCAATCAATCCTAATTTATGTCATATACTAACACACCAAATCTCGTTTTTTATCTGAATAAATAAAAAAGTTATAAGGATGAGCCACTTTTGTGACGCACCCGGTATAACCCTCGGAGATAAAATATCTCCCTCCAAAATATTCCATTTGAATCGCTTAAAAATCAGCAGTAAGTCGATTTTTTAAGTCTCTACAAGGGGATCAAAAAAAGATGTGTGGATCGGGATGATCTTTTTAAATGAAATGTATATTATTGCATTTTTGTATTTCTCTTAATCACTTTACATAGTCCTAAGAATAAGTGTGTTTTTATAATTTCATAATATAATACTTTGAAACATTTTAATTATCCTGTCACGAGTTATGGTTTTGTTAGCTGTTTAGATTGTTTATTACTTTATAAAGAAAGTAAACATGAAAAAAATCTTACAATAGATATAAATACATGTAAAAATGTATCTTTCAGCCTTTTTAAAATATATATTAAA